TGAGAGGGACTCCTGCGGGAGAACGGGGTTGGGATGGGGGAGGCGCCCCACGGCAGAGTAGGAACGATACATGCTTTCGCGTAAGAGTCTCCAAAAAGTCGGCAGATTAGTCGCTAGTCGCGTTTTTGAAAAATGGTCGCTGGAGGGGTCTGAAAAATCGCTGAGTTGGCAACACTGCACCTGCGGCGCTGGCTCGCTCTGCCGTATTTTTTTCCCCGTCCCCTGGTTCAGTCAAGTGGATGTGATGACAGCGGCGGCAGATGACGCATTAATCGCGCGACACAACAAATCGATGATGAAATTCGTTGCCAACGCTTTTAAAAGTCAATTTTATCGATTCGTTGTTGCAGCCCTATGCAGCACACTCAAGTATTAGGTGGAGAAGTGTCCTATTTAATCTAAATTTGAACCAAAAACCCCCCAAAAAATAGATTTTAACTTGTGAACTCAAAAAAAAAAAACAATTTATACATTGCCTGAAAACCAGGATGAATTAGAATTGACCACTCTGTCACATAGATGTTATTCATCAGAAGAGCTGATTATCATGTTGCAATTTCACAGTTCAGACCTTTTTTTTTTTTATTATTTATTTCCATAATCTTTACTAATACTATTATTATGGAACAAACAAGTTCAACCATGAAATAATGCAGACATAGGATATCTGCTCAATTGTAGTTCTTATTGCATCCAGCAGATGCTGCCATTCTAAACTGTATTGGCCAATTGTGTCAAATTGGTTAACTGGTTCACGGAGCTTTGAAATAGCCATCACTATTAATATGTCGGAAATAGAGCACAGAGTAGATAGGAGGAATGTTATTTTGGATATCTGAAAGTAACTGCCCACTACACAGGAATGGAGGGAAGTGACATAATTTGTACTAGTAAGAATTACTTTTCAGATATTGGAAATACTTATCCGGTCAAGCAAATATATGTTGAAACGGTCATTTAAAATAAGTAAAGATTTTACCTTATACTTCAATTTTTATTCTACATTACTTAAAATGTAATTTCTATGGTTAGAAATGTAATTAGTGATATCTGAAGTACAATTCTGACTAGGAATATTTTAATATTTGGTAGAATGCTTTATTGCTATCTACAATAGAAATGTAGGTTGTCTAATTTATTTTAAAATGGAGGCCCGTTATTTTTTTTGTTAGGCATAATTAAGATGTACATGTCTGGGATCCTAATTTAACTAGTCTTGAAATAAGCAGTTGATATCTGTAATGACATTTCTATAGCAGAAATATATTTTGTCAAGATTTTGATTTGTTGATATCTAGAATGTTCATTTTTAATATCTAAATTTGTCATGATTAGTAATAAATGTATTATGGTGATCAGATATTAGAGTTAATCCTCGTCAGAATTCAGTTTTAGACATCCAAAATGTCTATTTTAGATGGGAAGAATTTTATTATAGATATCTGGAAGTAACGCTCAATACACATGAATGGGAAGCGTGACGTAATTTGTACAAATAAGAATTACATTTTAAAGTAATACTTTTTTTATTTAAGATTACTGAAGTGTTAATTATGACAGGGAAGACATTTATTGGAGACTTCAGGATTACATATTCAGTCAAGCTAATAAATGTGAAAATGGCCTGCCATAAATGCTGCGCTTTGAACTACAACAAATTAGGACACTTGCACAGAGATTTACGTTAAAACAACGATTACAGCTTTTAGAGGACAGCTCTGCACCCTCTGCGTCTCCTTTTGAACTCAGTGGGTACTTGTGGAAGTAGTTGATGTATTATTTCAGCTTTAGAGATCTTCATGAGCTGCTCCTGGGTGGGTTTAACAAAAAAAGGTTACTCATCATGATAAGTTTCAAAAAATGAAAACAAAAAATATCAGTAAAATTCCTTCCAGTTTCACAGCATTCAACACCAGAGACCGAAAGCCCCAGAAAAAAGAAACCATGATCCACAAACAGAGGAGCTTAAGTATAAAGATGAATCAGATTCAAGCAAAAACAAACGATAAACAAAAATGTTAAAGACAAAATAAAAGAGAACTTTCCTTTTTGGGGAGCAGAAAGGCAGTTCAGGTTTTGTTCCACCTGTGAACCAAAAGACCTCGCATAGGAACGTGAGACTCTCTCTAAGAGTGAGAGGAAGGTTGTAAGTGCCACCAGAAGGTACTTAATTTTACTGAGACGTTGGTAATCTAGAGTGGGACCCCCCCCCAGTTATCCAGGTTGGCACCATAAGATTGGTGTGTATTGGGCAGAGTTAAATTGCATACCGGGCAGAGTTAAATTACCTGTAGATAATGGGAAAGGTTTTGCAGTTCTATGGTAGTAGAACAAAAAGCAAGGTTCTGGGGAATTGTCAACTGCCCAAGGAGAAAGTGGACGCAGTGCCGGGAACCTTTTGTGAGCGTGTTGAAATATGCATTTCAATGTACAGCCCCATTTCTTCTAATACAACCGCATCTAAAGCAAAAAGAAAAAAAGAAAGCTTGCCACACGCCTCCAGCCCCCCGCCGGGAACCTTGTGTGTTGCTGATGATTACAAGCTGCTATTCACTGCCCTTTATGCTATCTTGGGCACAGCTTGTTCATGTAACTAACCCCCCCCACTCTCATCCTCATACTACACTGATGTTTGGGTAATAATGTGTTCTGATAAGCGCCAAAAGACACATTAGCATAGTAGAGTTAATTACTGGTTTTGCTATGAAACTCACATTGATAAGTTTATTTACTCCCTCCTGAAAAAAAAAAAAAAAAAAAAACAACAACAGTTGCTGAACACCGGAAATCCGCCACTACGACAGAGAACTTTAAGCCCTTCAGTTCCAAATAGATGATTTTATTCCTTTTTTGAGAACAAACTTCTCATAATGTATGACGCTGTTGCTTGCTAATCTGCAACCTGAGACTAATACTGCAGCTACAGAAACTACAAAATTTACCATCAATTTAAATTTCTTTCAAAAATCCACCACAACAAAAAATTTGAATCGATTAATTGAATTGATTTTTAGCCCAGGCCTACCTCCTACCTTCTCACAACTTCCCCTCATCATTGCAGCTGAAGGATCTGCCCTATATCTGCTGAAGAATGTAACCGTAGTACCTGGTAGAATTCTTTTTCAGAGTATCTTTGAATTCAGGCAGTAAAAAAGCTGCAGTTATTTTATTTTTCCTCTCCTTTATCCCCTCAGGTCTTCAGCAGCACCATGCCTGTTAACATTGGGAGGTTCTTGCCAATCAGCTTCTGATCCCTGAACAAAGGCACTAATTTCGGGCACAGAGGACATTAAACATGAAGGAAGTAAAGGAGAAGCAGGAACCAGAACATCAGCCAGATTCTCAAACCACAGTGGAACCAGAACTCCGCGGAGTTAAAGAAGAACAAGTTGAACTGCAGATATTTGGAACTGAAGGCCAGCTTTCTGTGAAGCAAGAGAAAAGCATATTTGTGGATGTCAAGATATCCCACAATAAACCAGAGATAAAGGAGGAACCAGAACCCCGACTGATAGAAGATGAGGAACCAGAAATTGAACAGTTGCAAGAGGAAGAAGAGGAACTGGAACCTGGACAGTTTAAAGAAGAAGAGGAGGAACTAGAACCTGGGCAGATTAAAGAGGAGGATCTCTACAGTTATGCAGAAAAGCAGGAGACTGAAAGCTTCTTAATAACTCCAACTCTTGAGCAAAAAGACAACAGTGAAGCAGAACCACACGGAGACCATCTCCTCTCTGCCAGATACCATCAGAATCAACCTCAACAAGGAAGCAACCAGAACCATTCTGGGTCAAGCAGAGTCAAAGATCTGAACGACTCTGTAAAGGAAAAACACTCATCCTGTAAAGTTTGTGGTAAAAGTTTCACTCAGCAACGGTACCTGGCAGTTCATAGCAGAATTCACAGTGATGAGAAGCCATATTCTTGTGACACCTGTGGCAAATCTTTCAGGTATACCCACAATTTGACCTGTCACATCAGAACTCACACAGGGGAGAAGCTGTTTTCGTGTAAGATCTGTGGAAAATCTTTCAGGCATAGCTCTAATTTGACCCGTCACATCAGAACTCACACAGGGGAGAAGAAGTTTTCTTGTAAGCTCTGTGGAATTTCTTTCTATTTCAGTGATCAATTAACTACTCACATGAGGATTCACACAGGGGAGAGACCGTATACCTGCAATGTCTGTAGTAAATGTTTCAGTAAGAACTGGCAGTTGATTGATCACATGAGATCCCACAGCGATGAGAAGCCGTATTCATGTGACACGTGTGGTAGATCCTTTAGGTACAGAGGTGATTTGACTCGTCACATTAGAACTCACACAGGGGAGAAGCCGTTTTCTTGTAAACGCTGTGGAAAGTCTTTCACTGACAACAGTCAACTAACTGTTCACAAGAGGACTCACATGGCCGAGAAGCCATTCCGTTGTTTCATTTGTGGTAAAAGTTTCATACAGAAAGCTAACCTGCTTTATCATATTGGAAATCACACGGGGGAGAGACCATTCCAGTGTGAACGCTGTGATAAATCCTTCAAACGAAGCACTGATCTGGCCTGTCACTTGAGAACCCACACCGGTGAGAGACCATACTCCTGTGAGCTCTGTGGTAGATCTTTCATATATAGCAGTGATCTGACTCGTCACATTCGCTCTCACAAGGGGGAGAAGTCATTCCAGTGTGAACACTGTGATAAATCCTTCATTCACAGTAGTGATCTGACACGTCACGTTAGGATTCACAGTGATGAAAGGCCATATTCTTGTGAACTATGTGATAAATCTTTTAAGCAGAAGGGGGACCTGACTACTCACGTAAAAATTCACACTGGCCAGAAGCCCTTCTCATGTGATACATGTGGACGAAGTTTTAACAGACACTACAACCTGATTTCGCATAAAAGGACCCACACAGGGGAGAAGCCGTTCCTTTGTGGGGTTTGTGGTAAAGGTTTTGTAAAGAATAAATCCCTGGAATATCACATGAAAACACACGGGAGAGAAGTGTTTCAGTGTGAACTGTGCGAAAGATCTTTCATCCAAAGCAGTGATCTGGCTCGTCACCTAAAAACTCACACACCTGAGAAGTTGGATCCTTGAGTTTAACAGGATATGTTGGTCGGGAGTAGTGATTTGGAGGTAGTGTGGCAGCAGATTAAAGCTGCTGTTTAAATTGAAGTGGTTCCCTCTGAGAATTTTGACTGTATCCAAATCTCCTACAGGTTATGAACTTTAGCTTTTATGTGTTTGCTGCCACTCTAGGAGTTTGTAAAACCTAAAAAGTGAAGAACCTCTCCTGGATGAGAGGCGACACTTCTTCTAAAAAGCTTCACGTCCAGTTGGCTAAATTAAACCTGACTAGCAAAACCAATGTGGTTTAAAATTTTTCATTATTTTTGCCTCTGTGGCTTAAAACCTCATCTGTCCTTCACAACCTTAGTGTTCACCCCAAATCTCTGACCGATGACAGCAAGCACACAGAACCCTCCTTTTACATGAGAAATGCATGAAAACAACCAGTGTGGCTGACTTTTCCATTTAAATAACTCGATGGCTCACTGTGGCCTCTTACCCACTGAGTTTAGCAGGTTAACGCATATTTTTCAATAACAATCGTTATTTGGCTCCCTTCACATTGGCAGAAAAACCGGGTCTGGCCCTCTTGGCAGCTGCGTGTCTGGTCAAACTGTCACGCTTGGTTAGCACGGATGATGTCACTAGTGCAACAGAAGCAGGAAAGCAAACAATGGAGAGCATCATGTAAGAAATCTTGAGTCGTCTGCTTTGTTTTTTACTGTATTATCTGTCCGAATCCCTCTTACCAGTGCTGCGGCATGTTTATGGAATGTAAACAGAGTTATTTTTGATTGTAAGATCAGAAGCGACTGGCCCAGTGTGTTGACGTCTGTACGTTACCCTCATTGGTATCGCATACATTAGGGGCTCTGGTGTTTCCACAGCATGCCGATTAGAGCTGAGGCGATTTTAAAGCAGGTCGCTTGCAAAGTCGTTTGTCCGGGATAGACAGGGTTAAGTGTGTTGTTCCCACCACTACTAAAAGCCGATTGTTTAGGTTTTAAACGGATTTTCCCTCTAAAACCAAAGGGCAGGTGTCCCTTTGAGCTGTGGAACATGTTTATGGAAGTAAATCTTTGTCACTGGGATTTGAATTAAAAATGCCACTGAAATTTAAATGTTGTGTGTTTGTACTTACTGTTTCAGTGTTAAAATATATTCAGAACACATTTTTGACCTAAAAAAAAAATTCATTGTCATTATTTCTACACAGTTGAAATGTAATTTATTTTCTCTTCAAGTTAAAAATTCACATTACTATTTCAAAGTAATTATATTTTCAATACTTATTTTTCAGTTACATTTTTCAGTGTTAAAAAATCTGCATATAAAAAAATTCAACCTTTCAAAACTCAAACTCAATATTTTCAGCCTCCTGAGATTCAACTGGCTCTATTTCACCGTCTTAAATTCGGCGTCTAAATTCAGTGTAAAAAGGGAAGGGTTACTTCAGGTCACAGACATTAGCCATGGATTGTGGCGTCCAACACCCAGCCAATCCCGTTACGTTTTCTTAGTCCGTATGAGCGCCACATGCGTCACGTCACATGATTTACTTCCATACATGTTGCCTCCAGCTGAAGACCCATTTATTCAGACAGGATTTTCACTCATTTTCATGTTTGCTGTTTTCTTTCTAAAATCATAAAGACATCAAATAAAACTTATTTGATGTCTTTATGATTTTATTGTGCTTTATTAATAAAGTTTGCTTTCTTACTGAATTTCTTTCCATTAAATGTTCATTTTTTTTCTTTTTTGTAAATCGTGAAAAATGGAATATACTGTTAGGATCTTGATAACCTGCACTCATATTTTATTTCTAGAGCTTGATTGTTGAAGTAATTAAATATCATCTCTAAGGGTTTTTTCAAACATGCAGTTGTTGGTAGATTTAAACGTAGACAAACATAAACTTGGTCCTGTTTGGGTTGGTTGAAAGCACATGTCTAATATGCACCAAACTGTGCATATTAGAGATACAAGTGTTGTGTTATAGGTGATGTCTGAAATATATAATAATATATAATTATATTTTATTAACATTGCTGTACAATGTTTCAGGTTGTTTGGATTTTTTCCCCCTGTTTATTTTAGATGTTCCACAATTGTTTTAGTTTTATATCTTATACTTTTGTACTATTTTGGTTGAGGTTCCTAAATACATTTTTGCTTTTATAAATCAAATTGCTTGTTGTTTTTCGAGTAAGCATCACCAATTCATACAGTTTGTCACATCATTAAAAAACAAACAACATATTATGCCCAATACCTTCGTTATTGGGCATAATCTGGAACTTTAATTAAATATGACACAGAGCGAAAATATACACCATTAACTGTAATTATATAAAACATATCAAATATGTGCCAGAACTTAAATATTGACAGGTTTTGGCAGGATTTTGTTTAATAAAGGGCTTGTGCATTATCAAATCAGGGCAGCGAGCCTGTCTCTTGTAGCATTCCCAGGTGTTAAATTTGAGTCAGGCAGTTCTTGTAACATGTTGTACCCTGCTACATCCTCATCAGGTTCCAAGATGTCTCCGTTATCCAAACATTATGCAGAAAGGCGCAGGAAACTATTTGTTGGTATGCAAATGTCTGCTTGACTTCCACCTAGTTTTCATTATGCTAAAAGCTTATAACCCTGAATAACTGAGCGCCCCTTTGACTGGTGGTAGTTGACCTTCATTGCACTCTGCAATTCACAGGTTCCCTATAGGGAGTGGTTAAGCAGATTGGTGTTTCTGAAGACGGGTATCCTCCATCACCCAGAATGAAGAACCTACTTGGACGATACCTTCTTGCAGTGTATAAAAAGAGCTGCTTTTCAAAATGCAAGTGTCATGTACAGACTTCGAAAGCCAATAAAAATATTGAGTAACTTTCCAGAGGAGGCACAAATTGCCTGCATGGTTATTGAATTGAAACCTATGTAATTAAAATATTCCAGTCTATGAAGTGATGGGGGCTTAATCCGAATGTGGCAACCGTCAATTAGACCAACAGCTTTATAGAGGATGGCTGTCCCAGAAAGTTGACCAAATCCATGACCCACAGTGTCCAGATTGGCTGGGCTTGGAGGATATTACTCAGTTCAAATTGTCCCAAATAAACTGTGCTACCGTGTGGACAATTATGGATGGTGGACCTGGGAATGTTAAAAACACATTACACCACACAGTAGGGGGGCAAGCCAGTAAACAGTCATATGAAAAAGTTTGGGCAGCCCTATTTATCTTATTTTTACTTCTAAATATGTGTTTGCAACAGCTATTTGAGTTTGATATATCTAATAACTGATGGACAGAGTGATATTTCAGTATTAAATTGAGGTTTATGGGCTTACAGAAAATGCGCCGTACACATTAAAACAAAATTTGACAGGTGCAAAAGTATGGGCAGTTCAGCAAAAAAGAGACATTGAAATTCAGTAAATTCTTTCGCCTCTAGTCACTTCCTTGATTTTTCTCCATTTTTGACCATTCTTCTTTGCAATACAACTGCAGTTCAGCTAAGTTGATGGTCGCTGAGCATAGACAGCCTGCTTCAAATCATCCCACAGATGTTCAACGATATTCAGGTCTGGCGATTGGGATGGCCATTGTTATTGCTCCTCTGCATAAATGCCTGTTTGGTGCAGTTTTGGATCATTGTCTTGCTTGAAATATCCATCCCGGCGTAACTTCAACTTCATAACTGACTCTTGAACGTTATTCCCAAGATATTAAGATAAAGATCAGTCTGCTAATATTGAGTGGAATCTATGTGACCCTCAAGTATAACAAGATTCCCAGCACTGGCCGCCCGAAAGCATGATGGAACCTCCACCAAATTTTACAGTGGGTAGCAAGTGTTTTTCTTGGAATGCTGTGTTTTTTTTGCTGCCATGTATAACACATTTTTTTTTTATGACCAAACAACTCAATCTTTGTTTCATAAGTTCACAGGACCTTATTGCAAAATGAAGGTGGCTCGTCCAATTGTGCTTTTACTCCCTCTTGCTCAGTTAATAAAAAACAACAACATCAACTACCATAACTATGCAGACGACACACAGCTTTACATCGCCATGTCACCAGGTGATTATGAACCAATTCAAGCACTGAGGAAATGCTTAGAAGAAATCAATGCCTGGATGTGCCATAATTTTCTTCAACTGAATAAAAACAAAACTGAAGTAATAATCTTTGGACCAATAGAGGAGAGATCTAAAGTTAGCACACAGCTTCGGTCGCTTCAGCTAGTAATCACTGATCAGGCCCGAAATCTAGGTGTAGTGATGGATTCAGACTTAAACCTCCAAAAGCATTTAAAGACAATTACAAGGTCGGCTTTCTATCACCT